CCTAGGCGCATGGGCCTCTTTGAGGATGGTGCCCCTAGCCCAATAAGGCTAGGACGCCCCCTTACAGCCCATGCACGCACTAGAACCCTCCGAAACCTTCTAGAACCTTCCAGAAACTTCCGGAAGCTTCCCGGTACAATGCCGGTAAAACCCGAAACTTTTCCGGTAGCCAAAATATGACTTCCCATATATAAATCTTTACCTCCGGACTATTCCAGAGATCCTCGTGATGTCCGGGATCTCATCCGGAACTCCGAACAACATTCGGTCACCAACATGAATATCCCAATACTACTCTAGTGTCACCGAACGTTAAGCGTGCGAACCCTACGGGTTCGAGAATCATGTGGACATGACCGAGACACCTCTCCGATCAATAACCAATAGCAGGACCAGGATGCCCATATTGGTTCCCACATATTCCACAAAGATCTTTATCAGTTGAACCACGATGCCAAGGATTCAATCAATCCCGTATGCAGTTCCCTTTGTCTAGCGGTATGTTACTTGCCCGAGATTCAATCATCGGTATCTCCATACCTAGTTCAATATCGTTACTGGCAAGTCTCTTTACTCGTTCTGTAATACAAGATCATGTGACTAACTCCTTAGTCACATTGCTTGCAAGCCTGTTGTGATGTTGTATTACCGAGTGGGCCCTGAGATACCTCTCCGTCACACGGAGTCAGTGGCGGATCCAGGAATTGAACTTAGTCGGGGTGAAACATTGGAGGCATAAAATTTTGATTGACAAATGCAAGCCCGTTGAACCAAATATCATAAAATTCAAATATGAAGCTAGATGCACTCGAAAAATAATATAACCAATGATTTAGAACAGTTCAACATTCTCGACAACTAGGTGATGTGACCGCCAAAAATCACAAAATCTAACTTGAACGTCACATAGAACTACTAACATGGACTCACATTGCTTGAATCATTCATTCAATGGCCCAGAATGTTCAACTCCATGACTAATAGATGCCTACAGCATGTGAACAAGCTGGATATCAATATATGTCTTAGAACAAGTAAGCAAATAGTTTGAAACTTGTTGATTGTCGCTTGCTGATTTTGCAAATTGTAGTTGCGCGTTTGCAGGAGCTCGATGCTCTGCTTTCGCTGCCTCCTTGGTTGGCCCATCCACGGCCGGCGGATCTAGATCAGGTGCCTGGCGGCCGGCTGTCGGTGGCTGGGGGCGGCGAGGCGGAGCTATGTGGTGGCGTGCCGGCGGCGGCTAGCTTAGTCTCGGTTGATTTGGGGATTTCTTTGGACTGCCTCTGTACCTTTTTTTAGGTAAGACTGCCTCTGTACCTGTTCGGGGGATTGGGGTGTGGCCGGGCAAAAGATTGGCGCTATGGGTTGCTATTGGGCTTGGGTGTGACAACGCAGTCCAGTGCAAATCCCACTTGTATCGGCCCATGTACAAAACGAACAGTATTTTTCGTATACGGGATTTCGGCTACCCGGGGCAGCCGACCATAGTCGCCCCTACCGTGGCGCCGCCACTGCACGGAGTGACAAATCCCAATCTTGATCCATGCCAACTCAACAGACACCCTCAGAGGTACTTGTAGAGCATCTTTATAGTCACCTAGTTATGTTGCGATGTTTGATACACACAAGGTATTCCTCCGGTATCAGAGTTGCATGATCTCATGGTCTTAGGAACAGATACTTGACATGAAGAAAGTAGTACAATAAACTCATACGATCAAATGCTATGCTTACGGTTGGGTCTTGTCCATCACATCATTCTACTAATGATGTGGTCCCATTATCAAATGACAACTCATGTATATGGTTAGGAAACCTTAACCATCTTTGATCAACGAGCTAGTCTAGTAGAGGCTCACTAGGGATACGTTGTTGTCTATGTATCCACACATGTATCTGAGTTTCCGATCAATACAATTCTAGCATAGATAATAAACATTATCATGAGCAAGGAAATATGATAATAACCAATTTATTATTGCCTCCAGGGCATATTTCCAACATAGTCCACATGTTGAACTATGGTAACATCCATCGAGATATCATGGTAAGATTTTTCCTATTATGTCACCAGTGCTACATTCTTCTTAAGCTAAACTACATTTTTCTAAGTATGTTATTATGATGTTCTTCAACAGAAACTCCCGGCGGATTGTGTACCTCGTCTTATGGAAAAGAAAGGTGACATGAACATTATTAGCTTACGGCCAAGTTGGTCTACGCTTCATCGTAGTGCATACACGATTCATCAAAGAGATGACGTCCTCACAATCAAAGACTGGAGAAAAATTCTGAATGATCACAGAGAACTACTTGGGGGCAACATCAAGCGCAACCCACAAATGGGAGACAGGTTCATTTGTATTCTCCATAATGGAGAGTCAGGGGTTTACCTGTTTTATGCTATTTTACCTTGGAGAGAGTAGCAGGTCTTAGGTGGTTATGTGCTACATTGTGCTAGAATGATGAGCTAGTTCCTATATGACTATGATGATGAGTTGTTATCATGATGATGATGATGATGAGTTATGTTCTACATTGTGCTAGAATGATGAGCTAGTTCCTATATTACTATGATGATGAGTTGTTATCATGATGATGATGATGAGTTATGTGCTACATTGTGCTAGAATGATGAGCTAGTTCCTATATGACTATGATGATGAGTTAGTATTATTATGATGATGATGATGATGAGTTATTATGATCATGATGAGTTATTATATCATTGGGTGGAAGAAACACGGATTAGATTCATGTGACCAAAAGTTGGATTAGTAGGATAGTAACATGACTGCAACACGTGAACCTATTGCAGCCAATCTCGTACCTTGAGATTATTTTTTCTATTTTAGTTCACCCAATTTTATAATGAACAAAATTTAAACCATTCTAATTGTAATATTTAGCACTTTATGATATCCGTATATCACTTTTGTGCTCATATCAAAAAGATATGGTTCGAAACAAAAAGGTGTTAACAATTCATCAAACAGTTTTTGTCTAAGGGTAGTACAGACATTTCATCACACTACTCAATCCACAATCTCAACGCACAATCTCAGAAAAGAATTCGGCGATAGATTCTGTGGGAAGCAGATTCTGTGATAATTTTCTAGAATCTTAATTTTGCAGAATACTGCACGAAAAGAACTGGGCCATAGGAGAGTTGTAGATCATCTCCTTAAAGCACTCAAACATATCTTCAAGATTGTACTCCCTAAAAACCATTCTCAAAACTTAATACTCAATAATTCCTTAGTGCTGAGAGGGTGAGGTCTAGCCATGCCAGAATGTTAACTCCCAAAGGAGTTCTTCTTTTGTTAAATTGTCCTCTTTTACATAGATACACCATTTAAACTTCATTTCAAACACAAGTTGAACTTTATTCCAAACGTCATGACACTCACAAGGTTAACATGCACTAAACATACTCCACGGCTTGATAAACTTGTTTTAGTGACACAAAAATGACATGATATGAAACAAAAATCGACACAACAGAAATTTAACTACTACTTATATTTCTTCAACTCAAATGAGTTGAGCCTCCTCTTGCGCTCCTCCCTATGGTGCATGTTGACCGCAAAAAATGCCAACGAAGGCCGAGTCCCAATGAGCTCGGTTTCAAATTTTATTTTTTCAGAGCACGAAAAATTTCAAATTTATTTGTGAACACACATGCACATGTATACTACGTGTGTGCAAAATTTCACATGATCGTACTTTTACATGCAGCGTACAAAGAAAAGACAAATACACATTTTTAAACTGGCCTTTCATTTTTGTTATTGGGCGGGAATTTTTTATTTTGTACAGCATACAAATTACAACATTTTTCACGAAATTTCACAAGTTCTTGCGGAATACATATACGTTTCCGTTGTTTTTTTTCAGAATTTTTTTGAACTTTTAAATATGTTTTTTGATATTTTCAAAACACGAGCTCACTAGAGCCTAGCCTCCAAACATCTGCACTCATGTTGATTGTCCCTAGTATCAGCCACGACTAGGTTCGAGACCTAGGGGAGAACTCACTAATTTTCTGGTAAATATTGGATAGCTTAGACAAGTTGATGTATGGGACTGGCCCGGGAACCATTTTTTGTCATTGAGCGGCACAATCATGCTTTCCCATTATGCATGCATGCACGCAATAATATCAGCCAAAGCCCTATAGGTGTTTAAAATCTTAAAAAGTTTTAGCTCTCAAACTATTAACGAGTGACATCCGCTTTTAGAGTTGACTTCTTAGCTACTAAATCTTATGATAGGATCTAATGTCAACATGTTTCAACAACTTATTATTTTGTTTTTACTTCCTTATCAACTTACAAAAGTCACTTATTGTCAATTTAATGAACATCAATGTACACGTGTACAATTTGCTTACTTCTTGAATACCCACTCTTTAGTTATGCATAACATTGGAATTAAAAAAATGCAAATTTCTGATAATTCTCTCATGACAACTTTTCATGTCTAACATGCTAACAACTTAGGGGCGACAAAAAAAATTACAGATTTTATTTTAAAGCCCTCGATCTCTAATCAAATTAACAATTTGTGAAAAATAAATACTTTAAAATTTTAAAAATTGACAATTAATATAATTGATATCAAGATAAGGTTGAAAATTCATGCATACATACATGCGCTCTCTCCGAGGAAAAAGTTCCCAACATCCACAATGCAGGATTTTTTATTTTTTTTGCTAAGCATATAAGAGTACGGAAGCAATGTCTATGGACTCGTTGCTACTTGGAAAGGCCAAATTTGTGCTACTTATCCATCAGTCTGGCATTCAATTATTTCAGCAGTTGGAGGAAATCTTCCTCAAAACAGCCTCCGATTCAATCTTCGGTTCCCCAAAAAAAGCAACAAAAAATAAACAGCACAAATCAAGCTAAGATCAGACACTAAAATAAAACATGGAGAAGTCTTCTATAACATGCTCGCTACCAAGGAAGCCTGCTCAGTCATTCCTGCCGCTCACCATTTTATTTCTTCCTCTTCTTCAATCTACATAGATGCAAAAATATAAAATATGGAACAATATTTAAGTTATGTAAAAGACTAGAAGATATAGGACTACACAGGGAACCTACTTTCGCCTTGATGACATTTTCCTATGAATGAAAGCAAGATACAGTGGGTAGTAGGATGTTAGGATCCTATCTGACAGGCCCAACCGAAAAGGAATGATACCATCCTGTTACACCAACATTATCAAACAGAAAAAGTATTCAACTTCAACTAAATAATAAATGCACAAATCCACTAAAGGAAAAAGGCAAACAGAAGAAGAAAATGCATACCTTGTTTGCCTTTTCAGGCATATGCATCAAAAATTTTCTCTTAAAGTTGAGCTGAATCGTGCCTTTATTGCCGTCTTTTCGCCTCTTCTGCCTCTTCTTTACACCCTTGCTAGCTTGCCTCATTTTGTGCTTCTTTTGGCTTCTCTTTTTTATTGCAATTGCATCTTCTTCTACATCCTCCATACCATCAACTTCCTTGGCAATTTCCTCATCTTCTCCCACCTCAACCAAGTACTCATTGTCCATGGTAATCTCACTCCATGTATCTATATAAGGGCAAGCTACAAAGAAATCTTTCTTGAACTTGAGAGCATCTTCATCACTAAGCTCATCCCTTATGTTGACATTCGTCATAAATTCACTATGATGGTTAATCAGAAGTGTCCTTCTGTGTTCTGGTGTAAGCCACACTGGGTCATCACTCAATGCTTGCAAGCAGGTCAACGGATCTTTACCATCCAACACAGGCTGGACCGCAAAATTAAGTGCATCCTCCAATTCCTCAGGTATCAGCGTTGAAGGGAAGCAGGACCTAATAAGGAACTCAAGCTGTCTCACGTTTCCCACTGCCAATTCATTTGCATATTTACTGACCATAAGCCCATATATCTTAATTTGATGTCCTCTTATGAGGACATTGTCCAACTTTATATCTGATGCAAAACAACTTCCTGATGCAAATAGATTCACATATTCAAGCACCACAGACTGAAGGATAGATAGGAACCTATTTCTAATGAAGACATGCTGCTTGCTGGTGGAAGACCCAATTATATGTTTTCTCTTTAGAGCAGGTTCCTTCGACAGTAGATCAAGGAGTGAAGCATTGAACCCCTCGTACTGCCCTGCCAGTGTTAGCTTGTGATCATTCCTTAGAAGAACTGTGAATGTTCGCCCATGCAACTCAACATGATGAGGTGTATATGACCCTGAACAATCACTTGAGCCATAGTACACAGCTGAACATAACTCCAGCGTTTCACCAATCTGTGAATCAAAATGACAGCTCAAACAAATTATTACATGAGCCTTTCTGTCATAACATTCGTAAAGGCGATAAATAGGAAAACAATACTACAGAGCATAAATAATGGATTCCACAAGGAGCAACAAAAAAACATATTTAATACTGTTGCAGAGAAATGCCCAATAAGTAATATTCTTTGAATATTTCAACATACAGTCAACACCATAAAACAGGATGAACCGATTGGATACCCTAGAAAATGGTGACATTAGTGAGTTACCTGATTTTGGGACAAGTCAAAATCTTGCTTCAAGTCTCCCTGTGAATCTAAAAGCTTCAAACTGAAAAATGGACCAACCTACATGCAATTCACATATCTGTTAAGTCATATATGTGTCGATACGACTACCAGAAACGATAAAGCAACACTTTATTTTTACCTCAGTGAGAACTAATGAACCGGTAGCGTCCAACTCAGGGTAGCTATCAATCTAGTTAATAGAAGAAAAGAATCTCAGGACAACCATAAATAACAATATTTTTTAGAAAGTTTAAAAGCTTTGTGTCTCTTGTATTGAAAAGGCAGGAACAAAGTCACTTGTTCAGCCAAGCGAGCAGGATCAGAAAGAAACAGGGCAAGAAAAGGAAAAGGGAAGGCAGTGTTAGGAAGTATTAGTATAGGTCTAGGAGTCCTTATTAGTCTATGTTTAGTTTCCTTACACCTCCAGTCATATGTAATATATATATGCCCATTGGGCCTTCAATAAAGATAAGTTGCTTTCCTAACATGGTATTAGAGCCTAGGTTTAGGTCCCCTCCGACGCCGCAACTCGCCTCATGATCAATTTTTTTTTCCGTAATCTATCTTCGATCGATCCCCTGGATCGATCTCATGCCGCTGCTGCCATCGATACTAGATCGATCGAGTCCGGAAAGAACATTCCCGCTGTTGCTCCCTCCAAGTCGTGCGGTGACTGCCGCCTCACCCGGTCGCCATCAAGATCTACGCCCAGGCCGCTCCAGGTCGCCCGGCAAGCCTACTGGATCGATGCGCCGTTGGGCCTCTACACGTTCACTGTTGGGCAGCCATGGGCCGACTCCTATATTTGGACCCTCGACGGCCGCTCCTGCCCTCCCAGATCGACGTGCCCTGCAGCAGGTCTCCCATCCGGATCGATGCACCCGCCTGCTGGATCCCGTCGTTGTACGCTTTGCATCCATCTGATTAGGGCCGCCTGCGGCCTTCCATCCAGATCGGGCAGAGCCATCGATGGTCACGTCTCCAGAGCAGGTGTGCTGTCGTTTCTCCGTCTGCCTCATCTCGATCTTAGCTCGTGCGACTCATGCTAGCTACTCTCACACGTCCTGCTATACTGCTGCCCTTTTCTGCGCTGCTGTGGAGCTCTCCTTGCTACACGTGCTAGCTTCTGCTCCGTTCGGACCTTGATTATTTTTTTCAACAACAACAACAAAAAAGTCCAATATCTTCTACATGCATGATGGCTTTTGCATCGTTTTCTCGTGGGTGCTTTCCTTCTAGCTTTATAATTTCCGCTGCGTCCACCAAATTAGTTGATATTTTGTGTTTTCTCATGTCATGTGAGTCCATACCTATATTCGTCAGCCTTTTTTTTGGTCATTGTCCTTTGTATAGGATTTCTGTGGCCTCTCTTTGCATTGTTGATCTAAGCCCATTCTCTTGCCGTCGAGCTTCTTTCGCCGTCGGTTTTCATGGGCCATGATTCTTTAAGCAATGCTTCTTCTCTTGATGTGTCATCTTCTTTCGACAACCCATCTTCTCTTGATACTTCTCTTGTATCTTCTATTGATGCGCTGTCTTCCTCTGATGTGCCATCTCTTCTTTATCCCCTTTGGCGACTCGACAGGATTTGGATTATCATTTTTTTCTTTTCTAATTTTACACTTCAAATGCAATGCTATTGCATACGCTTTGCATTTGAGGGGGGCTGTTAGGAAGTATTAGTATAGTTCTAGGAGTCCTTATTAGTCTATGTTTAGTTTCCTTACACCTTCAGTCATATGTAATATATATATATGCCCCTTGGGCCTTCAATAAAGATAAGTTGCTTTCCTAACAGGCAGAACATATAGGAAAAAGAGGAATAAGCTAAAAATACCTCCCGATATATATGTTATCATGTATACTATGAACAGATAGAGTACCTTCTAGTTCAGGTTTGCAGCTTCACCAATTATGTTCCAAAAATTATAGTTAGCTGCTCAAGGGAAATTCTTACCTGAAGTAATAGAACTAATTGTAATATTTAGATTGTGGATAACAACGTTGCTAGAGAACTGGACGACAACAATGTCAACTATAAAATTAGGTATGATTTTTTTTTAGTTTCTAGATTAAAGATCATTTAGACTATATTAATATGTTAGAGCTTATAGATATGAAAATTGAAGAACATATCTATTTTTTTGTGGGAAAAGTGAGTTGATCAGGATTTTCTAGGTTCTAGCATACTCCTTTGGGTCATAAAACTAGAAGTAGGACATGTCTAAACATAGATCTCAGCACGACAAAAGAAAGGCTTCAATCTCCTTGTAGATATACTCCCTCAGACTACAAAAGAAGGGTGTGAAATCCTGGACCGCATGGATTAAATCGCTGGCTAAGTTTTGTCCCAAGTTTACCCCTGGAAAGTGGGACTGCAGTTTTAACTTCCCTCCATTTTGCACGCACTGACTGGTCATTTGTCCCCTCAATTTAGCTCGCACGCACACCGTCCATGCCCTCGCCGTCCACCATCCTCTCGGCAACGATTAAGCCCAGGCCAAGCTCGCCCTGTGCGCCATCAATTTCCTCGCCATCCACTACCCTCTTGGAATCGAGCTTGACCCGCACTCCATTCATACACTTGTAGTCCACCTCCATATCAACATCGATACACTGTGCATCGTGCACGCCTTCCATGCGCTCAACATCCTCGAGCCTGGCCTCAACAATGCGGTCATCGACGCGACCTCGGCGTCGATGGTGGCATTGGCGCGCACCATGCCACTACGTCCTCTAGGCCAACCGGGGCAGTCTGCACCACCACAACGGACCCATGGCCTGGTTCGGCACCCACAATCACCACTATGTCACCATCCACGGCGGCCACAACCACCACATCTATCTCGCCGAGCACAGCGTGTGCAATCGCCATGACTTGGCGAGCGGAGAAGACATGTGTCCTCTTCCAGGCCATCTTCCTAAGCCGGTGCATTCACCACATAGTCTTGGAGGTTATGGGAAGGAAATCGATCAATCTATTTGGGAAGGGATCTGAGAAGTGAGAGATGTTGTATATGTGGGTCATATCAGCCCATGAGGCCCAGGCCCATACGATTCCAGTGACAAACCTAGACAAGAGAGTGCACGACGATGTCTGGGTAGAGGCACCGCCACAACCTATCGACACTGCCATTGGTACGTCTCTCCTCTGCCCACATGGTATCAGAGATGGCGGCGACGACGGCGTCTCTCCTCTTCGGTTGATTTCAGCACTTCAACACCTCTTTGAAACCCCCAGCAAGGTGCTTCTCCATCCTTAAAATTCCAGAAGTGACATCTTTGTTGCACAAAGTACATCGGAGCGTCAATTTGTCATGCAGATCAGGCGAATAAGCATATTTCCATGCTAGGCCCTTGTTCCTAGTTGGCTTCCTTGCAAGATCCTTCGATGGATCGTAACCCTCCTCAGCTTGAGCTGCAGCAGCTGCTAAACACACTACTTGAGATATTGAAGGTGTCGTAGACATTGTAGTTCTGACCCTGGATCTTGAAATTGAAGCAAGCAAAACGAAATAAGGAAGAGAGCAGGGGGAAATCAAATCAGGGAAGAAAGGAAGGAGAGAAGGGAGAATTATTGTGCTGCTTGCTTTCTCCAACCTAGCAGAGGGGCGGATCCAGTAGCCCAGCAGAGGGACGGGGACTGTTGGAGCAGATCCAGGGAGAGCAGAAGCAATGGAGGGAGAGGGTCGGAGCAATAGAGCGGAGGGGCGGTGGTGGGTGGCGGCGCCGGTGGGTGGGTGCTGGTGGCGCCTCCTAGCAGACTCCCATGTGAGGCGGCTCGGGGCGAGCTGAAACCTAGCGGAGATATTTTCCTCCACGGGCTAGCGGGCTGTGCACTTATCCCATCCCAAATCCTAAAAAATGAATAAATTTAGAACAGGGATGCATTTGTACTTGAAAACTAACTCAATCAAGTTCAGAGCCATGCAACTATGCGGATGAAGCCCAAGGAGGAGAACCGGGTACCCAAGCAAGTTCAAAGGCATCCAACAGCACTGCAGCCTCAAAGAAAAACAAGACTTGTTTTATTGTGACGGAGCCGGCAAAGAAGAAAAACAAGTCAATTGCAGATGAGATAAGGAAGACACAGGAGGAGGTTGTCGCTGAGAGGCATAGCACAAAGGGCAATCAGTTAAAAATCAAGGACTATGGCAAAAAGATGCAGGAACAAACAGAACTTGTAGATGGTCATGTAGCTGACTTTCTCTATGAGAATTGCCTTCCACTAAATATTACTCCCTCCGTCCCAAAATAAGTGTCTCAACTTTGTACTAGCTTTAGTACAAAGTTATACTAAGCTTGAGACACTTATTTTGGGACGGAGGGAGTATTAATTCAAGAAGTTAGGAGATTATGTTGGAGTCTATAGGACAGTATGGATCTGATTATATATCACCTTCTTACCATGATGTGAGGATACCGTTGCTTCAGAAGGCGAAGCTAAAGACCGACAAGTTGAGAAGCATCAATTGGCATGGAAGGAATATGGTTGCACTCTCATGTCCAGTGGGTGGACGGGCGACACTTGATCAATTTTCTCGCCAAATAGTCCTGAAGGTACATTCTTTTTAGGGACATCTAATGTTTCTTCTGAGTCCGTTACTGCTGAGTTAGTTGCAACATTACTGAGTGAGCAGATTGAGGCAATTGGGCCTGAATTGGTAGTCCAGGTGGTTGGCGACAATGGTTCCGATTACAAGGCAGCCGGGAGATTTCTAATGGATAAGTATCCAAATTTGTATTGGACACCTTGTGCTGCCAACTGTTTGGATCTTATGCTAGAGGGCATTGGAAAGATAAGAGAATTTAGTGATTGCATTGCTAAAGCAAAGAGAACAACCAGATTTATTTATGCCCATGGTAGGGTTCTTGATCAAATGAGAAGCTTGAATGGTAAGAGAGATCTTGTGAGGCCTGGAGCAACTCGTTTTGCAACAGCATTCCTCACACTGGCCAGCATGTTGCAACAACGCCATCATCTGAAAGCTCTCTTTGTTAGCATAGAATGGCATGCATAGAATGGCATGCAGACAAGTTGAAGACCACCACACCAGGGAAGATGGCTGAAAAAACCATGCTCTCTGTGACGTTTTGGCAATCGGTGGAGAATTGCACGAGAGCTTCACAACCCATTCTTCAAGCTTTGAGAATTGTAGATGGTGATGAGATGCCAGCAATGCCAGTATGTAATGAGAATTGTAGATGGTGATAGTGCATATGGTGGCGTTGCTTATGATCTCCAATCTTATGCAAATCGAATCATTAGTCTATGCTGTTCCTCTTCCAGCTGCGAGCGCAATTGGAGTGTATTTAATCATGTAAGTAACTACCAATTGGATGGTTTGATAGCTAAGTGCAGCACCTTCTCACCAAAGAATTTGCTTGCAGATCCATACCAAAGGAAGAAACTGCTTGGAGTATAAGAGATTGAATAAGCTAGCCGATGTCTCTTACAACAGGCAAATGACAACTAGGTTTCAAAAGTTAAGTGAGCAAGGTTGCAAAGGAAAGAGGGCTAATGCACTTACCCTAGAAGAATGTCAGTGGGATAATGAGTGGGTTGATGTCAGTGCTGAATTGGTTCAACAAAATGAAGCTAACAATGATAATCCACTACTTTGGTCCCAAGTTGATGAGGCTGTTGGTGCGACAGATGGTCTAAGTGGACGCCATGTTCCAAGGAGGGTCGCGGTGATTTTAGTGAGTCAAGTCTAGTTTTGACCCACTGGCCCTCATATGGTTTATACTCAAAGGCCAAATCCGGACATCAATGATGAGGAGTTGAGGGCTGAACTGGAAGCTGGAGATATTGATAGTGACATGGAGACAAATGATGAAGACAAATGATGAAGACATAGAGATATCAATCTGGACTGATTTGAGGCTTGAAGATGTGTATCTTTAATTGCTTTTGCTGGACTGAACTTGTGGTGTTGTTGAACCTCTCTATTTCCATGATGACCTCCTTTATTTTGTAACTCAGACCACTTATGTTGGTCTTGTGATGCTGTGTGAACATATTTATTTGCTATCTTCGGTTCTTCATATATCCTTGAGTGCTGACTTTTTTCTTATGCCATTGCTTGAGTGTTTATCTGTTTGATAGTGCAAATCTGATTGCTTTTATCTTTTGTAGGCTGCTAGTGCTGGTTTGTGGCTAAAAAGCACGGATACGGGGACACGGACACGGCGACACGCACACGGGGACACGGGATACGGCATTTTCCAAAAACAGCCCATCGGGGACATGGCAAGTATATATAAAAAAATAAAAAAATGCCATGTAATATAGAGTTAAAGACGAAAAAATAACGAGAAAGAGATTGCCCCATTCAGCAGTAACTGGGCCACAAAGAAGATGATCCATTAGTAGTTGGGCCAGCCCAGCTAGTGCCGTTTCAAGACCAACTGGATGCTACAGATTAACCTGCACCTTTAAAACTCAAACCCTATCTCTCTCTGCCCTAACGCTTTGACCAAGCCGCCAAACTCCTTCCAGCGGTGGATCTCTCATCTACCCCGCAGCAGGCCAGCAGCTCTGGCCACCGCCCTCCTCCCAGCGTGCTCCTCTTGCTGCAGCAGCGGCAGCGGCCCACGCTGCAGCGGGGTATGCAGCAGCAGCAACGGCGGCGGCGCGGGCGCGACAGCAGCAGCACCGCGGTGGCAAGGGCGCAGCAGCAGCACGGCGGCGTGGGCAAAGAAGCAGCAGCGCGGCGGCGGTAGGGTGCTCCAGATCCAGCGTTGCGTCGTATCCCTTTCGTGCCCCAGCCGTGTCCTCCCTTTTTCTTTCTTTCTTTTAATTCTTAATTCGGGAAATACGGCGGGATACGTGTATCCCTGCGTGTCTGAGCGTGTCCCCGTGTCCCGCCGTGTCAGCACGGGGATTCGGCAACTTCTGCGGTGTCCATGCTTTGTAGGTTTGTGGAGAAGCAAAGGCCCTGGCCATTCGATATTACAATTGGCACAGCCTCAGGTTCTTCATCAAACTTCCATGCATTCTATTTGTATTGTCTGTAATACTGTGCTATTGTTATATATAGTATAAATTATATTGTGTGCTACAGTACCATGTCGCCTAGTTTCGATTAGTCTATAAGCCTCATCCTTCGAACGACTCGTTGACTCTTCGACTCGTAAAGGTTGGAGGGGAAAAGACTCCTAGGGTCTTAACAAATGGCAAGAACAGGTTGGTTTGAAACTACTGTGAGGCCAAAAAAGCTAGATTGCCAGATATCACCGCAATAAAAACTGAAAATCTGCTAGTAGGATTCAATACCTTGAAATTCCTGAAACATAATGAAGATCCAGTTGTGGTGAAAACAAATAGATGATCACTTTTTAGTAAATCTTCATTCTCTGAAGAGCCAAAGATCTGCAAGACAAATGCTCGGATTATATCTGCAAGGTATTAAAATTTTATGGAATACATAAAATGAAGTGCTCCTTACAGTAATGAGCCTTTTTTTCACTTCAGTGTTACTCAAATCGGATGAAAAAGCAATTGCGGGTCGTTTGGCTGTGATGAAATTTTTTCCATGTATTATTGCTGCAAAAGAAATACATATATGAAATAGTCAGTAAAATAATAACAATATTTGCAACAACTATAATGAAATCATTTACAGTGAGTGGCAATATCAGAGGCATATAACGACACCACGGCCATGAACTAACCATATGTACGGCAGTCTATCTATCTAAATCATGATTAGTCGCTATATTTAGGATTACATAAAGATAAGGTAGGATATCAAAGACAAAAGTTCCTCCTAAGGATAGTGTTTTTCTGGAGCAGTGCCGCCCTGGGGCATATATATAGTACTCCCTCCGTCCCAAAATAAGTGTCTTGAGCTTAGTACAAATTTGTACTAGAGCTAGTACAAAGTTGAGACACTTATTTTGAGACGGAGGGAGTATATGGTAAGTCGGTTTCTAATGCTGAACCTGAACCGACCATGCAGCTCTAATAGCTGTCTAGCTGCATGCACCATCTTACTGGCTACTATTACTGCCTAGCTAAGTAGTTATAATACAAGGATTACAGCTAAAAAGGTACATTCCACAAAATAAGATACTAAATAGGTACTCCCTCTGTTCCTAAATATAGGTCCTTTTAGAGATTTCAATATGGACTACATACGGAGCAAAATGGATGTATCTCATTCTAAAATCCGTCTATATAGATCCGTATCTAGTGCGCATTGAAATCTTTAAAAAGACTTACATTTAGAGTTTCTTTGGTAGCATGCATGGAGAGTATATAGGCTGAGAAGTTCCCAACCCGACCCACTTTTGCTTGTTTGATAGGGTGTATGGGCTCACCTGAGCTATGCCCATCTGATGCTCTAAAAGGCCCTCAGACATGCCCATCTCATGTACCCCAGATAGGCCTGCCGGGGCGAGCGAGGCTCTGGCCGACCCACCCCTCCCTCGAACGACCCTCGCTCGTGCCCCCTCTCGTCCCGCTAGCCCCCATTCTCCCCTGACCTAGCCGCCTCTCCCACTACCTTGGACACCACCGGCTGATCTACCCCGTCGTCTTCTACCTCGCCACCGCCCCTGCTGATCTGGTCTTCCTCGCCGCTGCCTCACCGCTGGTCCCTCGCTCAACCCACCGGCCACCCTTCAACCTCGCCGCCGCCAGCCCCAGCATGCCGTCGCCACCGAGGCAGCACCTCCGCCCTTCCTTCCCCTACCTCCTCCTTCCTGCCTCGGGCCTCCACTGGGTGATTTTTTTTTATTTTGTCAAGTATGTATCTTCTGTACAGAGAGCCTACTATGGTTAGAAAATTGTATTCATGAAGGATTTCATTAATTATCTATGTACAAAGAGCCAGCCTACTATGGTTAAGTCAAAATTTATGCATGAAGGATTTGGTGAACTATCTATCTTCTTTTCATTGCTTGTCATGCTGAAACTTTTTGACATGATTTGATTTGTTTGTATTGTCATAGATGGATGAATTATGTCGTGCTAAGTTTCCTGTTTTTTTGCATATCTTTTCTACTAAGATTTGAATTGTTTGTATTGTCATATATGGATGAATTGGCAAGAAAATGAAGGCAACTAATTGTGAGAGGAGCCGGTCTAGTGGCTGGATTGTATGCTTACATCATGCAGCCTACCAAACAGTCTCAGCTCAGCATGCGTCAGTACATACATTGCTACCAAACAACTGCGGTTGCATGTACTAACCATGTCTAGACTAAGTATGTCTCCCAGGGGAACAACTATGCTAGCGTGGGAACAGCTACCAAACACATCCTTAGAAACGGAGGGAGTACATTCCAGGCAATAAATGATTTAACTAAGCAAAACATCTGCTGAGCATATGTACCTGGATTAAGAAGGAACTTCATGCAGACATTGTTGGCAATATCATGCATCCAGCAAATCATCTGCTCCTCCTCTTCTTCCCACTGTCATTAAGGAGTATAACAATTGTTCGTAAATAAACAAACAATGCAAAATGCAAAGCGATAAATAAATACAATATGCAAAAAAAATATCACCTCAAAAAACAGGCACATGTCTGCCTTACTCCACCTTAGAAACATGATCCTTTGATTCGAGCAACAGACATAAGACTTCCCTTCATTGTCACAGCACAAAAGATAAGTCAAATGCTTCAAGAGAAGCTCATACCTGCGGAAAGATGGCACAAGAAATGTTGTAAGAAAATTTTAAACATGAACATGCCAAATTTTAAACATATACGTGCGTGTACATTTACTGAGTAGAAAGAGGTGCAACCGTTTCATAGGGCAAATTAAGATGGGGTGCGTTCGCAAAATATACCGTTTAGGAATGCCAGGCGTGTGAGCCACCACAAGTTTTCTAGGGACCAGGAGCGGGACGTTGGTGGAGGTCAAGGAAAGGACGTCTGTATCTATAGGCACACTGCTCATCGTCGCTGAACGGTGCTCGCCGCGGACTGGGAGGGGATTAGGGCGGTGGGGAGGGGCAGAGCAGCGAGGGGAGTGGCGGCTGGAGTTGAAGGACAGAAGCCGCTCTCGAGCTCCCGGCGACTGCGCACTGTCGCTTAGCGCACCTACGAACGCACCTTGATGCCCCCTCCCCCCTGGAACTTGCGCTGGATGCAGTGGCCGACCACGGAGACGAAGTGGACGGCAGTATTGCAGTAGCCGACGAGGTGGACGCCGTTCGTGCCCCGCCTCGACGGGGACGAGCGCGCAGGAGAGAGGCGAAGCCGCGACTGTTCGAGGTCTCGGCTGGAGATCGGGACGACAGATAGGAGGAGGCGGCCTCACGGGGTGTAACGGTGCCGCGGCGATCTAGGGTTTGAGCTACGAGGAGATCGGGAGGAGAAGGGAAAGAGGAGAAGGCAGGAAAGTGCTTACATGTATACCTGGCCAAATGGGCCGGCCCGGCCCCACCTGGGTTAAACGGGCCAGGCACGGCACGGCCCGGCCAGGCACACGAAGCACCCGATCCGTGCCGGGCCGGCACGTGTGCTGACCTCTGAGGCCAGGCACGGCCTTTTTTTGGAAACAATCGTTGTCGCTGTCGTTGCCTCGACGCTCCCCTGGTCGATCCCTACCGTTGTCGCTAGCCGTGTCGTGCCGGGCTGGCACGCATGCCAGCAGAGGCAGCCCAGGCACGGCCCAAGCAGGGCCACGTGCCAGGCACGGCCCACTATGCCACGTGTCGTGCCAGCCCGTGACGGGCCAAGCACGCGGGCTAACATGTCGGCCCGACAAAAGGGCCTCTTTGTCTAGGTATACTTATATGAGGTTGGCGCATTAAAATCTTAACAACTAGTCTCCCCAATGCATAAGGACATGTTCATTGCAAAGCGCTTGCGTAGGCGCTTATGACGAAAAAAATAAACATCGTAAAATAAAAAATCAGCTTAGCGCTTTACACCCCAACGTTGAGCGCTAAGACCAAGCGCTAATTAATTCCAAAACCAGCAAGGAAAGTTTGTCGCTACATGCATCGTTGAAGTCTGCAGGAAAAAAAAGACGAAGCGCCCGCCTCCAACTTTTGCGCCGATGCCATGTAAGACGCCAGGATTCGCTCGCCTAACTGCCAATTGGACAGGATATTAATCCTAGCACCTGGGCCTAGCGCCCGGCATTGTAGGTGCCTTAAAGCCCTTCCTAGTGCTTCAAGGTGTACATGTGCTAAGTAGCTGATGCGGTGGACGCCGTTCGTGCCCCGCCTCGACGGGGACGAGCGTGCGGGAGAGAGGCGAAGCGGCGACTGTTCGAGGTCTCGGCTGGAGATCGGGACGACAGATAGGAGGAGGCGACGTCACGGGTGTCGCGGCGATCTAGGGTTTGAGCTACGAGGAGATCGGGAGGAGAAGGGAAAGAGAAGAAGGCAGGAAAGTGCTTACATGTATACCTGGCCAAATGGGACAGCCCGGCCCGGCACGGCCTGGCCTGGGTTAAACGGGCCAGGCACGGCACGGCCTGGCCAGGCACGCCAAGTACTCGGGTCGTGCTGGGCAGGCACGCGTGCTAGCCTCTGAGGCCCAGGCACAGCCCCTCCACTACACGGGTCGGCACGCTGGCCCGATTGGCACGGCGGTAGACTTGGCCTGAGTGGCTCATCTGGGCACGCTACCTCTCGTGCGCTCGTGCCAGCAGGGCAGGAGGCACATCGAGGCACGGCTCCATTCAATGCCCGCTCATGGTCTCACTCACTGTCTTTTTTTCGAAAACGATCGTTGTTGCTATCCCTCACTCGCTCCTGGACGCTCCCCTCGATCGATTGTTGTCGCTGACTTGTCGTCGCTCCTTTTTTTAAACGATCGTTGTCGTTGTCGCTGCCTGGACGCTCCCCTATATCGATCCATGCCGCTGTCGCTAGCCGTGCCGGGCCGGGCTGGCACGCGTGCCCGTAAAGGCAGCCCAGGCACGGCCCAACCCGGGCCACGTGCCAGGCACGACCCACTATGCCACGTGTCGTGTCGGCCCATGACGGGCTAGGCATGCGGGCTAACGTGTCGGCCCGACAAAAAGGGCCCGTTTGGCCAGGTATACTTACATGAGGTTGGTGCATTAAAAATCTTAACAACTAGTCTCCCCAGTGTATAAGGGCATGTCCATTGCAAAGCGCTTGCTTAGGCGCTTATGACGAAAAATAAACATCATAAAATAAAAAATCAGCTTAACGCTTTACACCCCAACGCTGAGCACTAAGAACGGACGCTAATTAATCCCAAAACCAGTAGGGAAAGTCTATTGCTACATGCATCGTTTAAGTCTGCAGGAAAAAAAGACGAAGCGTCCGCCTCCAACCTTTGCGCTGATGCTATGTAAGACGCCGGGATTTGCTAGCCTAACTGCCAATTGGGCAGGATATTAATCCTAGTGCCTAGGCCTAGCGCCCGGCATTGTAGGTGCCCTAAGGCCCTCCCAGTGCTCGAAGGTGTACAAGGTGTACAGGTGCTAAATACGACACATAGGCAAAAAAGTGATGTGGCAAAGCAATTAAAGGGGGAGAGAGCATTAAAGTGACCCCGGGAAGACACGGTGCTAAGCACGTGAACCTATGTAAAGTGACTACCAACCAAT